GTTCGCGGGTCTATTTGTTCAGGTACCGACAATGATCCTTCTGCAGGTTCACCTACGGAAACCTTGTTACGACTTCTCCTTCCTCTAAATGATAAGGTTTAGTGGACTTATCGCGACGTCGCAGGCAGCGAACCACCCACGTCGCCTCGATCCGAACACTTCACCGGACCATTCAATCGGTAGGAGCGACGGGCGGTGTGTACAAAGGGCAGGGACGTAGTTAACGCGAGCTGATGACTCGCGCTTACGAGGAATTCCTCGTTAAAGACCAACAATTGCAATGATCTATCCCCATCACGATGAAATTTCAAAGATTACCCGGGCCTGTCGGCCAAGGCTATAGACTCGTTGAATACATCAGTGTAGCGCGCGTGCGGCGGCATCACAGACCTGTTATTGCCTCAAACTTCCGCGGCTTAAAAGGCCGTAGTCCCTCTAAGAAGCTGGCCATGGAGGGATACCTCCGCATAGCTAGTTAGCAAGCTGAGGTCTCGTTCGTTAACGGAATTAACCAGACAAATCGCTCCACCAACTAAGAACGGCCATGCACCACCACCCATAGAATCAAGAAAGAGCTCTCAGTCTGTCAATCCTTACTATGTCTGGACCTGGTAAGTTTCCCCGTGTTGAGTCAAATTATGCCGCAGGCTCCACTCCTGGTGGTGCCCTTCCGTCAATTCCTTTAAGTTTCAGCCTTGCGACCATACTCCCCTCGGAACCCAAAGACTTTGATTTCTCATAAGGTGCCGGCGGAGTCCTAAAAGCAACATCCGCCGATCCCTGGTCGGCATCGTTTATGGTTGAGACTAGGACGGTATCTGATCGTCTTTTTAAAATTGAAAACGGAATTAAACGGGCTCCGGAACACAAAAATAGTTAAAAACCCGAATTGGGTCCTCTGTCTAAATTCTGTCCAAAAGCTGCCAGTATTTGGGCATAACATGACCATTGGGCCGCGCGCACACAGGGCCTGTTAAAGGGCTGCCGGACGCGGGCCTCCTCGCGGGCTGGGGAGTTGACTGGGAAATGGGTCGCTGAAATGGGCTAAAGGGAATTAGGTTTTTGGGCCTCGCAGACAGAATTGGGCTGGATAAACAAGTAACATCAAAATAAAATGGCTAATTCAAGGGCAGGGATCGAACACCGGACCTCCCTCAAAGAGCTGAGCATAAGCGCCAATACGCCACACGTCTGTTTGGGAATTGGACAAAAAGAAAGAAATAAAAGTATCTGGCTGCGAACTAAAAGAAGGAACACAGCAGACTGTACACTGAACAGAATTTTGCTGCAACTCCAACGATCAATTCGAACTCGACCAAGTTTCTGCAATTTCGAAAAATTTCGAAAATAAACATAATTTTTCAGGGTTCAAACATTTATAAAAATCGGGTTTTGATTGTTCGAAAAATGAAACGACAACCAGCAGTTCGAAAACGAACAAATAACACATCAACGACGGTAACGCTCGAAACCATAGAACGAGACTCCGAAATAACACGATTAATGCACAACAACAATACTCGATAATACGAATGAGAGTTCCAACCTTCCACGAATAATTCACAACATATGAAATAAATAACGAACATACGAACAGACAAATAAACCGAACTCAAAAACCAACGAAACGATTCAACGCGAACGAAAATAAATGAGCAATATCATCCTGAACAACAATTTACGAGAAGGTTTCGAAAAGGTTTACCCGTCTTCGGGAATTTATGGGCTCGAACAGACGAATCGAACCGGATGAACGGAACCTCGACGGAACTCGAAACTCTGAATACGGGCTGAGGGAACTACTCACAAACAGCTACTCGCCGGAGTAGACGCCGTTGAACTGAGTTTCGCTGGAAATGGTCGCAACGGGACGGTGGCTGTGGCTTAACGGGGAGGATGCTGGTGAACTACGATTATTCAATGATCGAACCAAGATGTTGGTCGTGAACTGGACTGCTACGAAAAGAAAAAGAAAAATGATGGGGACAATTGGCGACGAACAGAACGACCGACAGGCTGTACGCGGACGACGAAAAACGGTGTCCTCGCCGGAGAAGAAAGGCCCAGCGGCGAGGAATTTTTTTTTTTTTTTAAATATTGAACTGCCGAGAGGGGAAGGATTCTCCTAGCTTTTGAACGATCTGATGGAGATGAAGCCTCTGATCGAGTCTTATGCAAGTGAGAGGATCGTGCGCGATGAGGGAGATCTTTAACCCAAAAGAATCGCAACTCCCAGACCACGTGAGGAAGAAAGCTGCAGATATTTAATGACAAGAGGGCTAGGAAAATTTTGCTCATATTGGGCCTAAAAATCATATTTCTCTCAAGTGGGCTAAACAGAATTCACCAAGGCTAGAAATTTGATCATTTTGGCCCAAAAATAACATCTCCGCGATAACAAGAATTCACGAACGATTCAATTGACGGTAGATAATGAATAAAATCGCATTATACGACTTATTATATTAATTAGACCAGAACGTCTAATTAATTAATATAAGTCTAAACGAGAATTGTCGAGCAATAATACAATATAGACATCAACATCAACATACCCAGTATATTCCCAAACGGGTTGGGGTCTGGGGGGTCAGTCGTACGCAGACCTTACCCTTGTAATTATACAAGGAGGCTGTTTCCATAGCGACCCAAGATGCATTGCGTCATTTGATATATTTTTTCCAGAAACTTCACTAATAGAAGAAGCACTAGAATTTGAATTGAGCCATTTTGATCTAGTCCATTATTAGCACTATGCCAGGAGAATTGTCAACAATGACTCTTCTAGCTCCATGTGAAATGGACAAATAATACAATATAGACAGTTAACTCAAAATAATAATATTAATAATAATAATAATAATAATAATAATAATAATAATAATAATAATAATAATAAAGCAAAATGTTTAAATAATTCCAATATTATTCAAAATCAAACGGGGCATTACATGGTGGTTGAGTGTTGTTGCTGTAAACTCTGGTAACGAACGGCTACGTGTACGGACAGAGGACTTTCTGGTGGTTTGGTGGGCAACAGTTGATCGAAGAAGGAGAGGGCTTGCCGGAATTAATGGTAGCGATTTTTTTTAAAAAAAAAAAAACAGATGCGAGAGAGAGATTAATAGCTTCTGAAATTTGAATGCTCTGCTTGACCGTGATATAGATGAGCAAAAGTAGAACGTGTACTGAGGAATCGCAACAAACTCCCAACGGCCAAGGAGGATGACTCGGTCGCAGCGAAAAGGTGTTATCTGTTCAATTTCTCACGCGGATAAAAGAATTGGAAAAAGGCCTACAAATTCAATACCAACTGGGCCTAATTCATTTGGGCTGACCTTGTTTATCCAATTGGGCCGAATGTGTTGATCAGAGGTGGCCGGATATAATCATGTTAGGCTAGAATTAATGACACTCCTTAACTCTTTCAAAATATATTTTACATTAAAGCATCGGTATATTATTTAGTCAAAATGACATGTTTTGTTTCCTTTTTTTACTCTTTTTGACAATTTTAAAATTTTGACAGTTTTATTTGTTTATTATTTATGATTTTGTTAGTAGGCACGTCTTTTGATAAGCAAAACCGGCACGCCTCTTCTTCTTTACTTTTTATCCTTTTATTAATCCTTTCTTCTTTATTTTTTTTTCTTACCTTCTTTCTTTTTCTTTTTTAATTCTTACAATGCTTTGAACAAAGTATTCATTCCCATAGCAGCGGCCCACAAAAAAATTGTACAATTGTGCAATAATCGAAAAAATGACAAAAAAAGGCAGTGGGAAAGGGCCGATTTTTTGAATTCGCAGCCTCCTCTCCTCTTTTACATTTCTATGGTCTAACAACCTCACAAAAACATCGAACTTATCATTACCCTCGTTTTCCTGTGATTTCTTTGGATGCATCTTTTTTCGAGTATTGACTTTTTCTGGATTTTCTTTTGGATTTGGGTGGAAATTGATTGTCATTCTATGGCAAGAATCTGGACTTGAATTTGAGCCTCCGTGTCCGAAATGAATCAGCCTCACCTGCCGAAGGCACTCAGACGTCTTGGGATTTTTCAGCCTTCACCCGCGCAAGTCGATGCCGGAGCCGCAGTCCACGATTGAGAATCACGTGGTGCGTTCTTTTATGTGTATTTAAGGTCGATTTCATCTCTATCTCTTGTTTTGGAATTAGAAAATTTGGATGAATCGAAGGATGAATGTAATCAGTGCAACTCTTGTTTCTATCAAATTATCTTTATTGTATGCATCATAATTTGAAAAATATTGTGAGTTGAAAATAGCATTTTATAAATATTTTCAAAGGGGTTTTTATTCTGAATTGTTATGCATTAACCGTTGTTTTTATGTTGCTCAACAGATGTTTTGTTACTGTTTTGTTGTTGTTTTGTTGTTACCTGGAAGTTTTTTTTTTTCATTTTTTTGTTTCATTTGATTTCTTGCATGACTATAATTTTGTCTGTATGTATTCTATTTTTATTATTTTTGTTATTGTTGTTGTTGTTGTTGTTGTTGTTGTTAATTCAATTTAACAAATATTTATGTTGGTTTTTTGTAATCTAATTTTATGCATGTATATAAACAATTTAATTATTATTATTATTATTATTATTATTATTATTATTATTATTATTATTATTATTATTATTATTATTATTTGTTTATTATTCTTAGGTATTAAATTTGAAGAAGAAGAAGAAGAAGAAAAGGGAAGAAGAAAGACGAAAAAAAGGAAGAAGAAGCAAAACGTGAAGAGAGAAGTAGGAGAGAGAAAGAACAAAAATAGGGGGAAAAAATAGGATGAGAGAGAGTAGTTGGCTATTAGTTTAATTTTTTGAATTAATTTTTTTTAATTTTTCGTGTTTACTTAAATTTGTCAAATTTTGGAGTATATTTGGTATTGTGTATAGGTAGTAACTGTTATGTATTATTAGTCTTTAAAAGGGGCAGTTATAAAATTTTCCCGTTAGGCTAACATTGATTATCAATTTAGGCCG